GTTTAGGCCAGGGTTTGACTTCGTGTGGACGGGGCCTGAGTTCTACAAATTAGATTCTTCACAAATCATTCCAGGTTCTCTCCACTTGTGGGGGCAGGTTTCCTCCTGAGAGAGGAGCAAAGACGATAGAGCATTTCTATTGGTCTGCTGGACGTTAGCAACCATGTTTTTATTGGGTTTAAAGTGGAGAGAACCTGATCTGAAAACCCGTTAGTCGAAATATTAGATTAGCTTTTCTGTTCTTTAGATAACATTAAAATAAGCTGACCTGTTTTAATAAAGCCACATGATTTCACTCAGATACGATTTTATCTTCTTTTCAGAAAAATACTATGTAAAAAGAATGCGGTTCATAAAACCTAACCTGAAAAAGGTAAATATAAAAGAAATGATCTGAAAGTAAGAAAAAAAGAAAAAGAAAACTGAAAAACATTATTTGATAATTTATATTATCAGTAAAAAAAAAAAAATAAAAAATTTAATTAATGGAGTTTGAAAGTTTTTTGTAAAAAATAATTATACAAAAACTAAACACATTTAAAAATATATCTTTTTTGATTATGATTTTTTCAAGGTTTCATAACTTGAGTTCTTTTTTAAATTTCATCTTAAATTTTTTGTCGGCCATTTTTTCTTTTTACCTATATAAGACATTAAGCTGATCCAAGACAACTATTACAATGTGTGTACTTAAAATTAGCCCTAACGATCTATATTATATACTCTTCCTTCACTCCTAAAGTAATTTCTCCATCTTCTTAACTTCAGGTGAATTTCTTTTTCCTTCTGAACATAATTCGGGTTATCATCACCAAACTGCGAGTCACCCATCAGGCTGAATCAAGCCTCTACATGAGGGCTGTGAGGGCCACTCTCATCCTCATCCCCCTACTGGGCATCCAGTACGTCCTCCTTGGGTACAAACCTCTGGATCCCTGGATTATTGAGATCTATCTATACATCATGAACATCGCCATGCATTACCAGGTCAGTACAAACAGGGATCTCTTTGTAAAATAAACGGAAGGTCGATAGTTATTTTTATTTATTTATTTTCTCAAATGTTTTCAAATTGAAATTCAGGGACTCCTGGTTTCTACGATATTCTGCTTCTTCAATGGGGAGGTGAGTAACAACCTTACCTCAGTATACGGTTAAGAAACTAATTTTAAGGTCATTTACTCCAATTCTGCCCAATTAAATACCCTGACTCAAATTATTCCAGGCCAATAAGCTTAACAGTAGGCCAGTAGTTAAGCTATACTAGCAATGTAGTTGTAAGGGTTTGAAATATTGAATCAACAACTGCAAAAGGAAGGAATCAGACATAAAAACCTACCAAGTCTATATGGACAATGAGATGACAGGGAGGTTATGGAGCCATCCAACTACCTATGGAGGTACAAAAAGAAAAAAAAAACATGAACATAAGAAAAAGCGCAAAAATATTTGCTACAATGAGGGATAGGACACAGTTAGGACAAATATACACTATTAGCAGGAAGTAAAATTATGTCTGCTGGTTGTTCCAGGTGCAGAAATTCTTTTCAGGTTTAAAATGGACAGAGTAAACACTATCAGAGGGAAGAGTTGGCGTTGTATGCAGGAGTTTGCCATGCAACCGGAGGGTTGTTGGTTCAAGCCCTGGCTTCGGCTTTCGCTGTCAATGTATCTGCAAGACACTTCATCTGCATTGCCTAGGGTGGTGGTCAGAGGGACCAGTGGGACCAGCCGGTGATCCCCAGTGATCGCCAGGGCAGCTGTGGCTACAATATAGTTCACCACCATCCAGTGGCACGGAAAGGGGGGTGCTGCGGGGGCTGCAGCCTCCCTCGTCATAGCATCAGCCCCCCATGGTGGGGGGGTTTGGAGTAACATAATATTGTACTTAAAAACATGAAATTATTTATGTATTTATTTTTTAAAAGACTGTGTTTGATATGGGATTAAAATGATGGGCTGTG